TATATATATATATATAAATGACTAAAAATAAAAAATCCATTTATTGCATATTAAGCAAAAAGCATTTCAATTAATCTCGTATAGATTATATCTAATTACTGATCATCAAAAGATTCACTAATATTTTTGTTTATAATTATTGATTAATTAAATTTTAAAATAATTTACCGAAGAAGAAAGTGGTGGTTGAAGAGTTAACCAAAGAGTTGTTTCTAGTTGAAGATTAATTTGATCAAAGGATACTCTAGTTTCACCCAACAATCGTTCCCGACGCATCATTCTGCCACCCCATAAATACACTCTGAGTCGTACTCCCATTGCATTTACATCCTCTGGATTTACACGAGGAAGTAAAAAACTCTCCATATATTGTGGAGATGTGCCTTGTCGAACTCGAGTTTTACGTCTTTGCTTTTTTGATGGTAGCAAAACTAATCGTACTTGACTACTACCAATGCCAGGAGGATAATTCCGCCCTTGTAATACGTGAACCTAGAGAAATAATATTTTATTTGCCAATTTATTAACCGTATTAATCGTATAACTAAATAATTTAAAACAAATTTAAAAATTAAAAAGTTAAAATCAAATATAAAAATTTGTTAGATACGATATAGTATAAGGAAAATAACGTTTTAAACAATAATTTGTATTAATATATATATAAATATTTCACGAGATATTTTATATTTTATGTTAAATAAAGTATAAAATAATTTAAATTAAGAATTATAAACTTATAAATTTATTAAAAAATAAAAACAACATCAATTAATACATCAAAGAATATGTTCTTTTCTAAAAAATAGCATTTACTTTTATAACACTTTAATCTTTCTATCTATAAATAATTTTTTTCATAAAAATATTTTCAGAATTATATAATTTTTGTAAATAATGTCTCCCCTTATTATTATACTTTATGAATATTATATTTTCTCATAACATTTTAAATAAAAATAATACTTAATATTAATTTTAAAAATTAATTTAAAATAATAAGTTATGCATAAATCAAATATTTTAAAATTGTTCTTTATACAAATAATTTTACATATCATAATAATAAATCTTAAAGCTCTGATAAATTTCAAAGCAAATTACAGAATAAAATTTTTTTAAAATTTAAATAAAATTTTTTATTTAAAATTCCTGGACACCATCTAGATTGATAACATTATAATTGAAAAAGTATAACAAATAATAGAACAAAAAATAAAACAATTTCGAAATCTGTAAGAATGAAAAAAATCAAAGAATAAAATGAATCTATAAGAGTCAAAAGTGTAAGTATGTAAAAGTACACACATACATATATACAAACGAGCATGCACGCAGGATATCTCTATAGCCAAACTTGAAGAAACAAATTTTGAGCAGAATGTGCTATCAATTTCTGATGGCAGAAAGGCCTATATTAAGGCTTCTGACTAGTCATCGCGATCATATTGGAATCGTGACATCATAAGCGAGAAATGATATAGGGAAATTTATTGCACATAATTTGCAAATAAAAAAATATTTAATTAGAATGACACTTGAGATGTCTTTACGACACATTGAATTTAAAACACTTGTGAAAATGGACGATGGCTATTATCCTTTTTCCTCCTGATAGTCAAGTAACTGTAAAAGGCACATAAAATAAAACTAATTCAGACAGGAAAACACGATTTGACAGCTGTTGAAAGACGTGAAAAATATGTTTTTACATACAAAAATTCAAAGATAACTTTAGCTGCCATTTTTACGAATTTGTAAGTATGAGACAAGTCATATTTGCATAATTAAATACATAATAACGAAATTAGGTGTAAATAAAAAAATGTCAGCATGTCATTTATAAAGATGAATTAGAACAAGGATAAGATGAATAAGGATGAATAATCTTTTAATTTTTATCGCGACTCTGTGTTGCTACTGTCAACGCGGAGTTCTTAGCTGAATAGTCAAAAGCCTTAACTATATAACTATATAATTTTCTTTTTATCCACTTGATCATTTGATAAGCAGATCTTTATTCGTACTAAAAAGAATCTAATATAAGATCAAAATATATAGGCTATTGTGTTTTATTTGAAATACACACTTACATTCTGTATTGACTCCTATAAGTATTAATTTTATTCTTTGAGAAAATATAACGAAAATTCTTGCAAAATACATTAAAATAAAAATATCTTTCAATAAAATAGTATTTGTAATCGATCGGAACTAAATCGAAAACTTCCATTTTGTTTTCCATAATCAATAAATCGAGAACTAAACTGTGTTTTGGTTCTTGATTAATCATAATACGTTTCTAGGCATATATTTATAAAATTTGTAAAATATTTGTAAAATTCTAGATTTATAATTATTTATTGATTATCGAAACAAAAAAAGAGTTTTGTTCTATCAGCAAATGTTGCTTTTTAGAAAAATATTCTTATTTTAATATATTTTGCAAAAATTTTTATTATTTTCTAACTTCTAATGTTATCAATCTGCAATAGGTGCCTTAAGTAAGAAAATAAATATATGAAATGTATTAAGTACATAACTTTAGTATAGAATAATAATTTTATAATTATTGTCTACATTATATTTAATTATAAAATAATAACATTTTTATGATTATAATAATTAAGAAATATATTTTGTTTGATCTTTGATATTTGATGTTCGCATCAGAACAGAAAGACAATTAGAAATGTAAAAAAATCTAAAAAAAGATCATAATTCCAAATATTATAATTGACAATTAAATATTATGAAGTAATTATACAAACTGTCATCTCACGCATCGGGGCATCATACAGGAAAGCGACTTCCAAACTACCAACTTCTTCTGGAGGCACTGTAGCCATCGTTGTGATGACGTCATTGGTTGTCGAGTCATTTCGCTCAACTTGTATCTCTTGCTCTCCATTGTCGAGTATAATGCTAGAAGTCCCAACTTCCACCACACACTAAACCAGACGAAATATAATATAATACCAATCCAAATTACTTTCTTTATTTGATTGATAGAACTTTCTTTGAATTCTTTCAAAATTCTACGAAAATTTTAAAATAATTACCTGTTGTTGATCTGCTGGAGAATGTTCCTCAGTACAACTACTGGAAGTTGTTCCAGCATCTACAAATAATAATGATAGTGTTATACATAGTGTTTTCTCTCTCTCTCTCTCTCTCTCTCTCTATATATATATATATATATATAAAATACACCCCGCATCTCTGAATCAACGCGCGCGCATTAGTCAGATTCTGTCCGCCCGAGCACACATAAAGCGAAAACAATTGTACCTTCATCCGCGAACAGTCGATTTATTTACCAGTAATATACTAAAAAACACCACGGATTATTTATATTATTGTTACATCTTACTAAATAAAAGCTAGTATACAACAAATATCTCTCTCTGTACCTCTCGCTCTTTGAATTGACTGAATATTGGATAATTGCCAAATATTCGTCATATTCTTATTATATATGAAGAAATTACAATAGATAATTTTTTTAATTATTAATCTTATATATTAAATTTATAAAACCATTTTTTTATTAATTAAATCTTTTATTATAGGGCAAAATCACTAGTTGTGGATCACTTAGAATATTTAAATATTTTAATAACGTTTACATGTTATGCAATAAAAATGTTGCATAATATGATTAAGCAGATATGATTAAGCATGGACATATTTAATTTCAACTGCATGATATTGAAGCATGATATTAATTTTTTTTATAAAATTTAATGCTACTCTAATTTACTATCTCTTATAAAAGCCATAAAGCAATTCTTAAGGTATTAAACTCTATAATAAATATAAATATTTAAATATTTATAAATATTTAAAAATTCATATCTTAGTTTTCCTCTCACGTTTTAGTTAACGACATCAAAATAATCATAAATGAGTGCAGCATTGTTACTAATAAACAAAAAACAATTGGTATTTGAAAAAAGTAAAACAAATACTAAAGAATCTTATGATATACGCCACTTGATGAAAAATACAATAATTATTTAAATATCATAAATGATCCGGAACTAGTGCCTAATCCACATCTAGTGCATTTATTATTATTTTTTATTTTAAATTAATATCCTGTATTTTCTACTTTTTGTTTATTTCAAATTAATAAATAATTTTATATTATTTTTATTGTCAAGATTTTAATTATATGAGCATTTTGTTATTAATGGACAATAATAAGACTAATGAAAATCAGTGCTGTAAACAATGCGCAATTATATGTTTAATCTTAACTACATTTATTAATAAAAAATAACCAAACATTTCAATCCGAATTTGAGTCATCTTTAGTCAAAATTTAAGTCATCTCTTTGTCGTATAGAGAATATTTTTTCTATCAATATTATCATTACTAACCTACTATAGTCGTTGGTCCATCCTCTGCTTGAATAGTCAAAATATCTGGTGGAGGATGTGAACACAAATTTAATCGTCGGAGGGCGTCTTCCTCTGAATCAGAACTTGTTTCAGGATCCGAATAGGAGAATGCCTTCCCTATAAAATAAAAATATATTAGTTATAATATATTAGTTAAAATATATTAGTTATGAATTCAGATACATAAAGAACTGAACAGTTAAATTCTAAAAGTTCAATAATTGAAAGTCTGATATAATATTTTAATTTAATTTTAATTTTAATTTTAAATCAATAGATTTTCTATTTTATTTGAAAAAATAAAAATTTATATAAAAATTGTGTGGAAATCAGTTTAAATTAAGATCAAATACCTATATTTTTCGAGATTTGAGATGTGGAGCTGTTGGTGGACTCACAGAGTGGCACACAGACTCCGCCAAACAGTGTAGTAGATGAGGGCGGCGTGAAACACCACTTCCGGGATAAGTAAAGGAAAAGAGCCAATAAGAGTACTATGAAACCAGCAATGGCACCCAAAACTGCAGTCGCTTCCACAGGTACTAAAACATTCCAAGAAATTCCTATCACAGATTTAACAGAAAAAGAGAGAATTTGTAAGTAATCGCGTAAACTTTTTAAAAGCTAATTATTTTAGATATTTGATTGCTTTATCAAAGTATCTCTATTTTTATGTTTTAATTGTTATGTTTAATTGTTATATCGTGTGTTCTTTCTTTTCTTTGTTAATTTTTTCTTTTTTAATTCTTATTTAAAAAATTTTTTTTTCACATTTTTTTACAATGCAAAAAAATTATGAGCAATATTTTGTAACACACATAATGCCAATAAAGTATAAGTAAGTATATATTGCCACATATTGCTAATACATACTTACTATGAATGATATATTGGCACTATAAAATAAAAATAAAAATTTTTAAACGCATCACTATCAAGTTTATATACTTTGTTTTTTAACGTCATCGATTTTATCTTTTGTTTATCTCGCGACTATTTAATGAAAAATACTTAAAATTAATTTTTATAAAATACTTAAAATATTTAATCTTTAAAAAACTAAATTAAATCAAAAGAATTTTTCCATTCTTTTTCTGTTTTATGATAGATAAAATATAAATCAGAATATCTTTGAAAAATAACTTATTATCATTCATTATTCATTGACTTATTGACAAAATTAACTTATTAGTGTTAATTGTTATCTATTAAAAAAGTAACTTATTATTGTTTCTCAAGAAGTAATTAATCATTATAATTTCCCTTATTTTTTTATTACAAAATTGAAGAGCTTTTCATAAGATTCTTGTATCTGCTTCATATAAATGTAGAAATGGAATAGTAGAATGAAATAGTTATACATGTATAAAATAATGATAAAAGTAATAATTATATTAACATTATTTAATACTTTACTATTTAAAAAACTTAACGTTAACTGCATTACTTTTCCTGTTACCAATAAAAAAGTATAGTAACATTGTTACTAATTCAGTACTGAAAAAAGCAATTATAATGACGTTACAAATAATGTTACAAATTATATTCCAATTTTACTATAAATATGTACTAATATGTATAATGTACAATTAATTTACAAACTTCAATTCTATAAACATATATATACAAAAATATGCGCACGAAGCAAAATATTTTTATTTTTATTTATATAAACAAACAATCAAGTTGTGCGTGTTTCATAAATTTTGTAGCTTTTTTTAACAAGAGTTTTCTAGGTAAAAAAAGTTTTATTTAAAAGTCGAAGAAATCTATATAATAAATAATATATGTGATATAATGTTATTTTTATTTTATAACATTATATCACATGCTTTATTAAAATAATTTATAACAATTATTCAAATAATTATCAATATATATTCAAATAATATCTCTTTCTTTATATTTATATTATGGTTGTTATGCTTTATATTATGGTTGTAAATGCAGAATATTTTTTATCTTACACAATTCATCAAATAATATATATAACATCAAAAACAAAATTTTGAAAATTAAGTATTAAGTATTAAGTAAAAAAGCACAAGAGCCAAGCTAGTTTACAGGCATAGTATAAAATACATTTGAAGAAAGTACAAATACATATGTTTTGACGTTCGGTTATGTCATCTTCAGTATATATAGAAGTCATAAATCAAAATTACAAATGATGTTGAGCATAAATAAGAAAACATATTATTTTGTAATAAGTATTTATTTGATATGACGATGCAATAACCAAATTTTCTTTATAATTCTATTTGACAAATAAAGTTGCAGGTAGTTTAAGAACTATTTGACATCCAAATAACCGCCATTGTCAAGATCAAGATGATGTCATATGATGTCATTTTGATTGAAAAGCTTCAGTCAAAATGACATCTCATTGTAATAATCGCATGTTACTTGAGTATTTTGAGATATACATCAATTAGTATTATGCTGTTCTTTCTCAATTTTGATTTTGATTTGTGTGTGTGTGTGTGTGTGTGTGTGTGTGTGTGTGTGCGCGCGCGCGCGCGCGCGCGCGTGTGTGTGTGTGTGTGGTGTGGCATACTAAGTATATATATGAAACGCTTTTACTTATTGTGCAATAATATCAAAATAATATAAAATGTAAATAATAACAAAAGTTATAAAATTTATTTGATCAAATAGATATGATAATGCTCTTAATGATTATAACAATTAAAGAATATTCCGTTTAACAAAAAATAAATTTAAAAAAAGCGTGAAAAAGTAGACAAGAAAAAATAGTTTAAATAACATAAGTTCAAAAAATTAATTAAATCTTTTTTGTACAAGCATTTGTATAAAAAAAAATTAATTATAAAATTTGAACAATTATAAATATATTTTCACTTTCATGAACTTGGAATTTTAGTCAGTATAAATATTGAATATCATACTTGTCATATTGAACGCGTTAATGCGATGGCGACATATTACGTCGTATAATGACCTGGAATAATTTATTATCGCTCCAGTTATGACAAACTATCTGTGATATGGAGTTACGCAATATTGTATATTTTCTAAATGCAACGAATAAAAAACAAATTTATTGTGATCCAAAATTATCAAATTTTAATCATTTAATTGTTAAACTGTAATGATCTTAATAAACGTATTTTAATATTACATCTTTTTTCACGCCAAAATGTTTATTATAATTTATTATCTCCTACTGTACTATATTTCTTATTTTCTTATATTCTTAAAGATCGCTCATAAAATTTGCGGAATCTGTTCGCACAATGTAGAGATCATGAAAACTTCCTCATTGGAAATTTAATAGAAACAAAAATAGAAAGCGAAGAACTCGTAGGTTGGAATGACTGGTTTCTCAATTTTTAAATTAAATAATTAATTTTTTATTGTTATTAACGGATTACGACATTGTCCTATTCATGGTAACTTTTCAAACGCACAAAATAATTCGATAATAGTACGGAACTCGTCACTAAGAAATTCCGATTAGATAGTGGACTTACCCGCTAAGAAGTGGTCTGATCCAGCCAGAATCATACTCGTCTACAATGTCACATTAAAAAGCTTCTTTACTGGCTTGGTGATGTGGCCAAGATTGTCTTTCATGAAATAACGAATACATTATCTGCCTTGACAATCGCGTCAGGCATTTTGTTATAAAATTAAGAGAAGCGTGGCTAGCTAGTTCTGGGCTAACCACACAATAATAATGTGGGCGGGGGTGTACACACGGCACTCTGTTGCTTAGATCGACGCGATGTGCGCCTGCTACACCGAGACCCGTTATTCGCGCTTGCGCGAACATGAGTCTCATTAGGCGCAAGCTATCGCAAAAACATAATAAGACAAATCAAGAGCACTCTCTGACTTGATCGATGATTGCCTTAACTGACAAAATTATTTACAATAAAATTTCTAGCTATATCTAACTGCATACATATTCTCCCATAAATATAAATGGCTATCTTTATTGCCATAACAAAGTAAAAATTTTAAATAAATATTTTATCAAATTAAATAATTCGAATTTTCTTTAAAATCTATCCTGAGCGTAGTGATTATTTATTTACAAAAATTATTTATAGAGAACGGAAAGCATGCAAAAATTTTTATAAAAGGAATTTTTAGATATACAATAAAACCTACAGCATTCTTGGTAACAAAATGTATAATTTAACAAAATTATTTTACATATTATATAAATTTTGTTAGGTTAAAGTTTTAACAATTCTATTATGTTTTTATTTTCAATTTTGCAATAAAATCAATTTTCGACTATCGCATTAACAATTGATGTATAAGCTTAAGAGTTCAGATATAAAGAAAATAAAAATAAATAAAAAATTAAAAATTAAAAATAATAGAATCATTAGACGTCTGTGGATATATTTCGAACGGTGATAGTTTAGCTTATTTTTTTTCTAGATGTTGCTTTTCTAGATGCTGCCTAACCTAACCGAAAAAGTGTCCGACTAAACCGAACCCATCACAAGGGTTGGTTTATGGAGGCCGTAATCTGTTAACTTATGCTGTAACCGTAAAAAATTAACCAATCACAATCGAATTATAGAAGAATAGTCGATTATTCGTCAATTTTTTACGATTACGACATAAGTTAACAGATTGCAGTCTCCATAAAGGCCATATCAGACTTGCTTGCGCGGCTACGGTTGCCGGTTGATGATTCTATCACAATGTAGCAGGTCCTGATTATGGTCAATGTGATTGGTAATAATAGAATCAACCGGGCAATTGCTAATCTGATATAGCCTTAAGGCCTGTTCAACAATCGTGTGTCGGTGTCGTAAGAATAAATGGGCCAATCACAATCAAGTATTCTCCCCATATTCGACTGTAACTGGTCAATTCTTGTGGCTTGCGACACCGACGCATTGTAGAACAGGCCTAAACCAACCCTTATTCGCGTAGATAATGTGCACGTTTTGTGGTTCTCTTCCGTGGTAGATGCAAGAGTGATAAAGACGAATGATATGGACACGATTGTCTATAAAATTTATTATTAAAAAGACTTTTATAGATGAAATTTTTATATAAAATTCTTTCTTTTATATAAGAAAAGGAAGTGCGTGAACTTAGTGTTATTTTTACCTTTTTTTATTACATTTTAAAAATAGTATAACATTGCAGTAGCTACTCTACGGTTAAAATTAAATGAATGATATTTTATAAAAATAATCATTTCTTTGTATCTTTTCTAAATGTCCAAAGCTTCGTACGTTTTTTGATATCTCATCAAAAATATTTGAATACCATTTAACAAAACTTGCTATTCATTATCACTATTATTACTATTCTTCTTATTGTTATTATTATAAAAATCTTTTTCAATAATTATTGTTGCACTGATTCAATAATTATTGCATACTGTACTGACGAACTGCGTCATATTCATCTTTAACGTTGTCCCGCGCAATCAATGCGGTTTGAGACGAATATGTATGGAACGCGTATAGAGATATTTCTCGTTCATTTTCCAAAAATGCGATTTCGGAAAATGACTATATTAT